TAACTTTAGGGAAGAAATGAGAAAATGTAGCTCCCTCTTTTCCTTGAAGAGGTGGCAGACTACAGGGTTGAAATGTATATGTTATCAAATGCAGCAGATGTGTCAGTTGGCTCTGCTGAAGTATTTTTGGTGTGGTTTTTTTTTTTAACTTTTGGAACAAAGGAAGGCTTACTTGGTAGGTGAGATGGGGAGACACATTTGGAAAAGAGTGTGAGGCAAAAATAAAAAGCATCCCAAAAAAAAGATTTTAAAAAAGTAAAAAGAAAATTTGGCACTCTTATACTATATGTAATTTAGGAAAATTAATTTAATTGTAAATGTAAAATTGTTTTTTGAGACTGGGTATTCACCTAGGCTGGAATACAGTGGCCATTCACAGATATGGTCTTTCTACTGATTGGCCTGAAAGCTTTGACCTGCTCCATTTTTTCCAACCTGGGCTGGTTCACCCATCCTTAGGCAACCTGGTGGCCCCCTACACCTGAGGACTCATCATATTGGTGTGAACACTTGCTAGGCTTCAGTCTTACTGAAGCTCAGAACTCCTGAACTAAAGCAATCAACTAATTTCATCTTCTGCAGTACGAATTTTATGCATGCTCTACAAGACCAGACCTGAGTTATTCCCAAAGAAAAAAATAGCTAGAATTTATATAGAGCTTTAAAGTTTGCAATGTACTTTGCATATATCATTTGATTCTCACAACAACTCAGTGCAGTAGGTATTATTATTATTATTCTTATTTTACAGATAAGGAAACTGAGGCTAAAATGTTAAGTGACTTGTGCAGAGTCACATTGTTAGTAAGTGCGAGGCAGAATTTGAATTCAAGGCTTCCTAAGGCCAGTATTTTCTCTCTTCACCATTCAGCTGTCCAAAGTAAATAAAGCTCAAGTGCCACCTTTTATAGAAGGCTTTTTCTGACCTTCCCCACCCAAGTTGTTAACTCACCCTTCCTTTTGAAGTTACTTTGTTTTTTGTATACATGTGGTATTTATTTATTGGTGTACAAGTTGTATTCTTTCCTGACTCCCCAAGTAGAATCTAAGATCATTAAAGGTAGATACCATTTAACTTTCACAAATAGTGGGCATTTAATAAATATTTGCTGAAATGAATTCCACATCCTTTCTCCATTCCCTCTTATCCAAATCCCCAGTCATCAAAAAAGGCCAAAGCCTATGTTTCAAATATAATTACTCAAAGAAAAGCCTAAGTGGCACAGTGGCTAGAGCTCCAGCCTTGGAGTAGGGAGGACCTAAGTTCAAATCTAGCCTCAGGCACTTGACACTTACTAGCCAACTACCTCACACAAAAAAAAAAAGGACAGAAAAGGTTAGAGAGGTTACCTTTTCCAACTTCCTTAGTGATCTGTATGTCAAGTGGTGAATAAAATACTATCACAGAGTATCCAGATTACTTTGTGAGAAGGGAATTATAATTTTTATGTTAATCAATATATGTGTTATGAATATACTAATAATTTATTTTTCTCAAGAGCTGCCTCTCTGGCTTGGGAATCAGAGTTCACATTGGAGCTTGAATTGATTAATCAAAACTCTGACAATGCTCACAATCACTGAACCTTAAGTAAAGTCAATCAAAGATTGTAGAACCTGTTCCCATCACAGAACTCTGGTTCTGTACTGTAGGGGAGGCACTCCTGTCTGTAGGTCTGCTTTGTTCAGGCTCTGAGCATTCTCTGGTTAGAGAGTGGTTCAGTAAAAATCCTGTTAATACTTTGTGTCCCTACCTTAGGATCACAACAAAAGAGTATCTCTGGCAGGACTGAAGAAACTCCAATTTAGCTAAGACCTGTTAGGAACAAAATAGCCATTCCATCCTCTTGGGAAGGAGAAAATTAACTATGCAGGTAGACCACCTTTGCCTTAAAGCTCCCAAAGTACTAGGCAAGAAGTCCACACACCATTTTAGGGAACAAGTCAAAAAGAAGCTAGGAGTCCCTCTTCTTCCCAAGCCCAGAGGACCATAATAAACATTGATACCTAGGATCCAGATTCTTTCACAGCAGATTCCAGGAGATGGGGCTCTAAAATGGAAATCAGGAAAAGGGTTGAGTTTTAAGTTTTCCTTGAATGTTCCGATTTGTCTGGGGCTTTTTGAATGCCATTCATCTCCTTTGGGGGAATAAGTATCCAAGAACAGTTCCAGTCCCTTCTCGGATCAGAGCAACAAGACTCAGACAGCTCCAATTCTTGATGTGCTCATAGCAGTTTATGGGGTGCAAAAGTCTGATCTAGGAGACAGGGCAGGATGAATTCAGATCTCTGTTCCCAATGTACTATGAAATTTGTAATAAGTCACTGTCTCTGTGCTCTAATCACCTCATTATTTAGTGAAGAAAATATTTATATCCCCTCCCTGCCTCAGTTTATGGTGGAATCTTCTTTCTCCAATAAAACTGTTTAGATGAAATTGATAATTTGGCCTAGTGGAAAGAATACAGAACAGATTTGGGCCCTTTTCTGGCTCCATTACTGAACACTGTACCTATATGACCTCAGACAAGTCACTTAATTTCTGAAAGCATCAAGATCCTGTTACAATCCTTTGTCAAGTGATGAAATGGTAGCAAATACTTGCCCTACCCTATGACATAAGGCTCTTATAAAGATCGCGAGATCCAAGCGGGAATAATATGGGGAATATTAATTGCTATACCCACACATAGGGAGTTTAATGACTCACAACCCTTAGTTTCAAACCAATTGCTTAAAAGATTGAGTTAGTATAAACTTGGGAAGAGGAAAAAGCCCTTGGAGGATTTATGAAAGAGGAGGAAAATTGGGCTTCATCCTCCTATCTATACCCTGTTGGAACATTTAATAGAAAATGCTTTGATAATGGGGAAAAAGGAGAAATGGGCTATAAGATGTTTTGTGGGGGCTCAGGTTCAGGTTTGCAAAGAATTTTACTGTACTGAATTTGGAGTTAGTGGACCTAGGTTCAAATCTTAGTGCTGGACAATTACTTCTCTGGACCACAGCTTGCTATTCTGTAAAACATACCAGTTGGACTCGATGATCAATAAGTCTCTTCTAGAACCAAATCTACTGTTCCTACCTGTCAGTGATACCTTTCTACACATTCTACCTCCTACTTTCACTCCTGTAGAGATCAGTTATTCTTTTTCACTTTTTGCCTCAAGCATTTGGGTCAAATCCTCCTTCCAGAGTCAGTACCTCTTCATTACTTTCTGCAGATCGTATCCCCACTACATTCCTAATGGCCTCAGGTAGAACATCACAAGCATCAACCACATCTGAACTAGCTTTTCCTTGAATCTTCAGCATCAGAGCTCTCAGAGGTAGTAAAGCTTGAACACTTCCTGAAACCAGAGACACTTAAATTCAGTTAAGTGTACCTCCCCTTAGATGGGACTTCAGCTCCAAGAAGAAACTCTTCCCCATTCACCACTTCTAAAGCAGCCGAGAAATATATCAGAATGAGTCAGCAGATCTGAATTCTAAAATCTAGCTGTGAGACCATGAGCAAATCATTTAACATTTCTGAGCCTGTTTCCTTGACCTGTAAAGTGGAGATAAATTTATATTAGCTTACATTATTATATATGTTATGGTTATTTTTCCAGGGGAACTTAGACCTGAGAGACAAAAAGGTAGTTTTCTTCCATCTGATACTTTCACTCTGGGGTTATTCAGAGAGCCAACCTTGGGAAGATTCAGGTCCAAACTTACTTGAAAGGGTCAAAAGGAGTGACTTACGCAGTCATAATTTAATACAGTTCAACCTCAATATCCCACAGGAACTATAGAAAGACTCAGAATATACACAAGATGAGCATCAGGCAGCAGAGTAGAGCTGTGGTCAAAAGAAATCAGAGGCCCAGCAGTTGGTTTACTTAAGTATGCAAACAAAACTCGTAAGGACACAGACACAGATACACGGCCTCAGACTATATATATATATATATATGTATATATATATATACATATACACACACATATATACATATACACGTGTGTATATATGTATATATGTGTATATATATACATACACACACATATATACATATACATGTGTATATATGTATATATACATATACACACATATATACATATACATGTGTGTGTATATATATGTATATATATACATACACACATATATACATATACATGTGTATATGTATATACATATACACACACATATATACATATACACGTGTGTATATATGTGTGTGTATATATATGTATATGTGTGTGTGTCTGTGTATATATATATATACACACACACACATCTATCTATCTATCTATCTATCTATCTATCTATCTATCTATCTATCTATCTATCTATCTATCTATCTATCTATATCCCCCTTGTCCTTGGAACCAGAAAGTACAGACCTTCAGGACACCAGGAAATACGTATGCATAGTTAGTAGGAAAATGAACAAAGGCACTAATTGATAGACTATTCTAGGCTGCGGGGGAGGGTGTCTTTTCCACTTTTCTCTCTCTCTAAGGTGCAACCAAAGGGCCTCGGGTTTTGGTTACAAAAGGAAGGACTTAGTTGAGACCAAAAAAGAAAGGGTCTGGTGCCCCAGAATTCGTCCTTCTGCTTTCTATGGTTCCCCATCCCTGCCAAAATCGCAGTAGGGCACTGCAGGGGAGTGGCCAGGAGCCAAGGGCCGGTATCATTCTCACGGATACCGGTATTCCCAGGGCTGCGGACTCACCCTCGTCCAGGGCACAGCCGAATAATTCTTCTGGCTACTCTGGAAAGCGTGGTGCAATCCCCTCCAGTCCAGTGGCGCGCCCCGTACTCAGTCCAAGCCCCTAATGTGGGGGCCGGACCAGGAGCACGCAGCCTCCAGAGCAGGAGGAGGGATTAAATGAGGACCCCATTTTCCACCCCCACCCCCCACAGTCTCCCAAAAGATAGGCAAGGTGGAGGGATCAAGAGCGTCCACGTCGCCTTTCGAGGTCACACCCTCCCGCGCCCGAATACACCTTCTGACCTGGCAAGAGGGGTCCACAGGTTCCCGAGGCGGTGAAGCACAGATTGTGAAGCAGGATTATTTAAAACTACGATTCCCAAAATCCCCCTGGCTGCGACTCTTCCTCTTAGCTTTGTGGTTCAACAAGAGGAAAGGCAAGACCGATGCTGGAAGCTTTCGGAGAAAAGAACTAAATCCCAGAGCAGAAGTGGGAGGGTTTTTTAGGCATCCGGGAACCGCGTGCCCTCCAGGCGCTTTCGTTCCATCACATCCTTGGATAAAAAGTGTTCAAGGAGCTCCAGACCGGGCGGGTTACACAGAAGCCTCAGAATGAAGTTACTAGCTAGAAAAACAAAAACAAAAACAAAAGCTATCAATTCTCCCTCAGATCTTAGCCCCACTGGAACTAGGTGATTCTAAGAACTCGTGTTTAAATAACTTAATAGACATTTTAGTTGCACTTTACACTTAAGGGAAACAGACTCAGAGAATATTAAACGACACACCAGTGGGTGTCGCTGACCGGCCTGTCCTAGGTTCTTTCTACTTCCTCCTCCCTTCTGGAAAGAGGCGGCTTTGAATCCTTCCCAGGCTTCTCCTCTTCTCTGAAGAGTTAAGTGTGATTTTTGTGGGGAGGGGGGCATCTCTACTACTCCAATTCAGCTTATACAGTCCCAGTTCCTTCCTCTTAACGTTGCCTCTAACAAACTGTTCGCATCTTTTCCCAAAACTCCCAGGTGAGACTCCAGTTCATCTTTTGGCACAAAGATTAGGATGAGCCAAACCACTATTAGGGATAAGAAGAAATGATTGTCCGTTTTAACTGCAAATCCCAGAATGTCAGGTGGTTTATGGAAATTATTTGGTCTAACAGGTGGAATTTGAACCGAGCTTAAAAGACTTAGAGCAGAAGTCATCTCTAAGAGGGAGAATATTTTAATGTAGTTTTATTTATCATATATATGTACGTTATATATATATGTGTGTGTGTGTGTGTGTGTGTGTGTATACATACATATGTGTTTGCATGTTCTCTACCCTATTAAACTGCAATCTTCTTGAGGGCAGGGACTGTTTTTTTTCCCTTTTTTGTATCCCCAGCAGGTAGCCTTTCACCTGCCCCGTAGTAGGGTCTTAATATTTATTGACTGATTGATTTACAAACTCCAGAAATTCTGAGGCTGGATACTCACAGAAAGAAGCAAGCTCAAGAACTGCTGATGCTGGAACAATCGCTGATCTTTCTGCCTGAAGCTATTAGGAATTAAATGGGAGTATGACATCCGAAAAAACAAGGTGATGAAGGAGTAAAGATTTGACTGAAACTAGTTTCTTTAACATTTATTAAATGCTTACTTTGTACACAAGATAGTTGTATCTTCAAATATAATTATAACCCTACAGGAATTCAGTCATTTCACCTCACTGGGACTCAGTTTCTTGATCTGTTAGCATCTAAAATATGCCCTATAGATACTGTGAGAAAAATGGGAGAAAAGTGAGAAAATCGATGATCACTAAAAGCCTAAGTAGGAAGAACTGAACTGAATGAGTGCTGATGTTTTTTTAACTGCAAATTTAAAATATGTGGAGAAATTAACTTACCTGATGAGATTTTTGCCCCTTAAATATTTCCAATATCCCTTCACCATAAATCCCTCTACCAGTGTGAGTTGTTAGGTTTCTCCCCTCTAGGCTCTGATTAATGATTTGGCCAACAGGATCACCTTTCTAGATTATTCACATAGAACACCAGGCCTGGAATCCAGAAGACTTGCATTCAACTCCGGCCTCAGACACTTAATAGCTGTGGTATCCTGGGCAAGTCACTTAACCCTGTTTGCCTCAGTTTCCTCATCTGTAAAATGAGCTGGAGAAGGAAATGGCAAACCATTCCAGTATCTTTGCCAAGAAAACCTTGAGATTCACAAAGAGTCAATTGAACAACAAAATAGCTATTTACAAATATACAACTAGCCTTTATTAGTTGCTTAAGACACATATTTATATTTGAAAGACAAATAACTCTGGTTGAAGAGATAAAAGGCATTTATCTCACTGACCAAACCACAATCTAATCAAGAGGTCTTAGAATCCTCATCTGAGTATTTCCTTATCATCTGTCAGAAATGGTCTGTTTACCCTCCCTAGCCGAAGTTCCAACTGAAGGAAAGGTTTTGAATGCCATTAGGCTCCTTTTGTGTGGCAAAGCACCTGGTACTGATTCTATTCCAGCTGAGATTTACAAGGTAGGGGCTCCATCACTCATACAAAAGCTGACTAAAATTTTCCAGGTTATATGGCAAGAGGAGATTATCCCCCAGGAGTTCAAGGATGCCTCCATTGTCCTATAAAGGTAAAGAAAATAGATTGCCTTGTGACAATCACAGGGGGGTGTGAGGTGTCTCTTGGTCATTGCTGGCAAGATTCTTGCCAGAGTTTTCTTTAATAGGCTGATCCTTTACCTGGAAGTTGTTCATGTACCTGAGAGGCAGTGTGGCTTCAGAAAGGGCTGAGGAATGGTCAGTATGGTGTTTGCAGCCTGACAACTCCAGGAGAAATGCCAGGAGCAGAACAGAGGTCTGCATACAACGTTTATAGGTCTGACCAAGTCCTTTGAGGGCTTATGGAAAATTACATCAAAATTTGGTTGCCTGGAGGAGTACATGAAATTGTACGTCAATTTCATGATGGCATGTTTGCCCGGGTTCTGGTTAATGGACAGTACTCTTGTGCTTTACCAGTCATCAATGGAGTGAAAGCAAGGTTGTATGCTTGCTCTCATGCTTTTTAGCATGATGTTTTCAGCCATGTTGTCAAATGCTTTCAGTGAGGAAGAACATGGCATCAAGGTCAGCTACCGAACTGATGGTAAATTCTTCAACTTGAAAAGGCTTCAATCCAAGACCAAAGTGGAGGGAGTGTTGGTACATGATTTTCTGTTTGCAAAAGATTGTGCATTCAATGCAGCCTCTGAAGCTGAGATGCAACAAAGTATGGATCAGTTCTCTGCTGCTTGTGCTAATTTTGGCCCAACAATTAACACAGGTTAAGAAAGAAAACACAGGTGTTCCATCAGCCACCACCATACCATCCGTACATGGAACCATTGGTTACAACAAATGGAGAAATTTTGAATGCTGTGGATAAGTTTACTTACCTTGGTAGTGTACTTTCCAGGGAGGCCAGAGCTAGCTCAGTGTTTGGGAGGCTCTGAAGAAAAGTTGTGGGAGAGAAGAGGTATTAGACTGACTACGAAACTGAAGGTCTGCAGAGCTGTTTGTTCTGACCTCATTGTTGTATGCCTATGAAACCTGGTCAGCGTACCAGTGGCATGCCAGGAAACTGAATTGCTTCCATTTGAATTGTCTTAGGAAGGTTCTGAAGATCATTTGGCAGGATAAATACCAAACACTGAGGTCCTTTCTCAAACTAAACTGCTAAGCATTCAAACTATGCTTCAGAGAGTAAAGCTCTGATGGTCTGGCCATTTTGTTCACATGCAAAATGTATGCTTGCCAAAAAGTATTTTATGGAGAACTCATACAGGGCAAGCCCTCACGTGGTGGTCAGAAGAAGTGATAGAAGGGCACTCTCAAGGTCTCTCTTAAGAACTTTGAAATTGATTATGTGACATGGGAGACACTGGTACAGGACTGCTCAGCATGGGGTGCCCACATCAGAGAAAGTGGTGTCCTGTATGAGCAAAGCAGAATTGAAACAGCTTAAAGGAAATACAGAATTTGAAAATTTAGAGAAGCCACCCCAAATGTTCATACTGACTGTTTGTACGCAACCTGTGGTAGAGCATTCCAAGCTTGTGTTGGTCTGATCTGCCACAGTCTTTTATCAGGTTATAGCAATGAAAAACATGGGCAAGGAGTTAGAAGAGAAGCTAATTTTTGGAAAAACAGAAACAATCAGAAAATTAAAACTCAGGGCATGAGTTTATACTATCAAACAGATAGCCAATCAAATTAATAACAACTGCTAACCTCCATGTGATCCTGTCATAATTGTCAGATCATATAAGACTTCAGAGGATAAAGAAATTAGCACGAGTTGGAGTGGTCAAGGAAGACTTTAAGTAAAAAATAGTTCTTAAGTGGGGTCTTTATGGATGAGTGAGATTTGGAGAGAAGGAAATAAGAAGGGTCCTCTCTTTTTATTCTTATACTAATCCAGGAATAAGCAAACATACTGTTCATGGGTAATATAATTTCCAGGAGACTGCTCCTTGTTACTTAGGGAGTAGAGGGACAAAAGTTTTCCAGTCAGACTGCATTATCCTAGTTCGTACACTTGCCATCTACCTTCCCTGTTACTGCAGAGGGCTATATCATCCTCCCAGTCTCTCAGACTCACAACCTAGGAGTCACTTCGAATTCCTCACATCTCTCACCTCCCATATCCAATTCATTGCCAAGACCTGTTGATTTCACTTTTGCATTTAAGGCACTTCGAAACCTGATCCCCTCACTTTTCCAGTCTTCTTACATCTTACACCCTAACTATGTACTCCTCTATCCAGTGACACTGGCCTTGCTGTTCCATGAACAAGACAACTCTGTCTTTCAGCTCTAGGCATTTTTTCTGACTGTCTATCTTTCAAGCCTGGAATGCTCTCCCTCATATGCACTGTTTACTAATGTCATTGGCTATCTCTAAGTCTCAGCCAAAATCCCCCGTTTTACTGGAAACTTTCCCCAATCCCTTTTAATTCCAGTGCCTTCTCTCTGTTAATTGTTTCCTATTTATACTGTACATAGCTTGTTTTGCATTTATTTGTTTGCATGCTGTCTCCTCCATTAGATTGTAAGCTCCTTGAGGGCAGGGACTTTTTCCCTCTTTTTGTATCCTCAGCACTTAGCTTAGTGCCTGGCATGTGTGATAGGCACTTAATAAATGTTCATTGATTGATTCAGATCCTTATCTCCTGCCTGGGCTACAGAAATTTCCTCCTAACTGGTTTCCTTAAAACTTGCCCCTCTTCCCCCTGAGCAATCTGTATATCATGGCCAGATTAATCTTCCTAAAATGTCGTTATGATCTTGCCAATTTCCTGCTCAAAAACCCTTCCATGGCCTCCTATTTTCTACCCATTAAAATCCAAACTCCTTTGTCTGCTATTCATCTCTACAACTTAGCACTGAATTATTATTCTAGCTTTATTCTTTTTTTATTTTTAGTCGATTGGGGTTAAGTGACTTGCCCATGGTCAAGAGCTAGTGTCAAGTGTTTGGTCTGAGGCCGGATTTGAACTCAGATCCTCCTGACTTCAGGGCTGGTGCTCTATCTACTGTGCCACCTAGCTGCCCCTAGCTTTGTTTTTATTAGTTCTCCATAGATCTCTTGCTGTCATTCTGGTCTACTTATTGTGCCTCCTCCTCTCCCCCAAATGCCTCAAAAAAAATTTTCTTTTAAATTTC